CGCTGCGCCGAATAAGTTTGCCTTTATCATCATAAACAAATGGTCGTAAGCCTTCTTTCAAAACTACACCCTCATCTTCTGTTCGGAAAGATCCTGTTTTATTCCTAAAAAAGCAAATCGAATAAATTAGTAAGCCGATAAAAATAAGCTCAAATATCAAAAGCTTACCTTTCGCATGTTGCACAAAGGCATTCTTCGTTCCCAGCGCCAAAATAATTATCACCATAATAAGCCGTCAATTCTTCTCCAATTGCAACATCACGGAGAAATTTGAACGCTATTGCGTTTTGTCCGGATGAGATAAATTCTGTATTGGGACAACAGTCATGCTATTGAAAAAAATGTTAATAGATTAATCATTAATAGTATTGAATAAATCTGAAGGAAAATTCTAATAGTATTGAATAAAATTTAATAAATCTGAAGGAAATTTCTAATACTCACATTAACAAATCTCGCTGGCCCCAATAATAAACACATTGTATCTTTCCTTGATGACCACATAATACTGAAATCTCGACCACCTTCTAATGCTCTTTCTTCTTCTGTAGTTAGACTAACAAGTGTACCAGAACAATGCCGGAAGGTCATTGCAGAAGTGCTAGGATTAGAAAATCAAGGATTCGGTCCGATATTCGGCCCGGGCTATAGAAGCAATAGTAGTCCGGTCATCGTTGTTCCCGGGGGGCACGTGCCCGCTAATGATTCATCTGAATCTGATGATGACGTCATAATGAGTGATATCGAAGTAGAGGTAAGTTAGTGTATTTAAAGTTATCTTCTACTTATATTTGAGCAAAATCATTAATTCTTTAATATCTACTTTTTTTCAATTACAGGTCAATTCCACTGCTTCTGCCGACCTTACTTCCAAACAAAGACGGGAAGAGGATGGCCATGTTTTTTCAGAACCCTCTAAAAAATGCAAAATTTAACTTTATAGAATAAATAAAAAAAGGTGACGTCAAATGTGTGGAAAAGGTGGGCGGGGTAATATTCTGTAAATATTGTAAATGTTAAGACCTTTAGATGTAAATAATAGTATTATATAAAATTAATATAATCGTAATGTTTTTTAATAATAATTTTGTTTTTATTAGCATTTCGCAAGAGAATTTCTTTAAATATTACAAATAATCATGTATTTGTATGTAGATTAATTCAAAAGTTTGAAAAA